CTTTATAATTTATTAMTCACAACCCGTACTACAGAACCCCATATTAAAACTGCTGAACTACCCATTTAATGTTTAGACCAGACTAGATTGATGCCACAAGTGCTGTAATAAATCCCACCTGACACTGACTGAGAGGTGGGATACACATCTGACAAGTAATCAGTCCATCACCAATGAAACACAGACAGACAGACAGACAGACAGACAGACAGACAGACAGACAGACAACCCATTTTTGCTCTCATTCACACCAACTGCTACATTAACCAGCTCACTCAACAGGCTGTGCCACCCAAAAAAAAGGAAAGAAAGAAAGAAAAAAGAAAAGAAAAAGGCCAATCCTATTCTTCTTCAGCATCAACTGAGATAAACAATGAAACAATCTGATGAAAAGCTGATCTGTGGAGCAGACGTGTTACTGTAAGAGGAGACATGGTGTCAAAGTTCAGCCATGATGTGCAGCTGCATTTCTCCAACTATTAGAAACACAATCAGACAGAAAATATGTCTTTTCGGCTTAAAATCAATTTTGGAGGCAATAAGCAGWAGATGAGATCAGTCAGGATCCTGCAATGACAACTTTGGATCTAAAAAGGTTATATTTAAAAACAACATTTTCATTTGAGTTTGGTTTTGTTCTTTAGAAAGTTTATTTTCACTGTTGTCTTCATTTAATAATTTTGTAAAAGTTTGTTTCCTTCCAAATCAGCCTCAATTCGTTTTAGGTGTGGCGATAAGAAATAGGAGTGGCTTTACTTTAGTTTGTCAGATAAGTTCTTCATAGATTCTGGAGGATTTGGTAAAAAAATGTAGTTTTYTTTTAAAAACAAGGAGCATTCAACAACAGACACGATGGTTAGTGCAGCTGATGTGGAACTCACAGCATTAATTATTAGAGAACATCTCCATGTTTTCAGCTGAATAAATCCACTCTTGAACGTTTCTGCTTGAGTAGAGGAACAACAGCACTGGTTCACTTCATTCTGCTCTCATTTTTGTGGGGATTGCACTGTTAGTGTAGCACTGATGAGGATAAAACAAAACTCTGAAGTGTGTGTTCTACTTCAGGGAGTAATTTACCAATACATGATAGAATCACACATTATGATGATATTTATTTGGATTAAAATCAGAGACAAGGTGGTGGTGGTGGGGGGTGGTTAAGATATTTATTTTCTTGCAAAGTCCGATTGCCTCTGCCTCAATAAAAAAGCAAAGAGGAGAGGTGAACAAATGGGATCAGCTTCCAAATGATAGATTCTAAAAAAGATTTTATTCGAGTATTTAATCATTTTATATGCATATATTCAATCTGTCTCCTCTGCACATGTTTGTGTTTGGGTCATTTTTAGGGTTGAATGATGATAAAATAAACAAAACTTGAATCTAAAGAGCAAGAAATTTTGCTTTGTTGTTTTTTTTCATAAATAAATCCCTTCATTTACAGATCAAAGGAAGCAGCAACAGYTTTTAGAAGCAGTGGCAACTCTGAAAAGGTGTTTTTGGGGTTCAGTTTTTTGATGGCACATTTCTGTTTCTGACTGGATACATTTTCCTGTCACCCACAATCAGAAAACAGTGTCTTTTTTTGTTGCATTCAAAGGAAGTCCTCTTCAGGTCAGTGCTGAAACAAGCTGCAGGTCAGAAACGCAGAGGACGACAGTTTGAACGTGTCGGTCCTCGCAGTCAGCCTGAAGCTGAATAATTTACAATAATCAACATCTTCAGCTGCGAGAGCTGAGCTCACACATCAGTCCTCCCTTCTGAGCTGTGAAGAAGCATGCCTACAGTCCTGGTGTTATGTAAGATATGCAGAAACATGCCTTACAGCTGACTATTTGTTTTAAAAGAAGTTTACTTGTTGATGGGAGCTGATTACAGACAGTCCTCTGGGTGTTTTCAATCCACTGATGCCTGACGTTTAAACAGAACAGAATCTACCTCGTTTGATTTGGTCCTAAGTCTTTAATAAATCWATATTTGAAGCTCACTCAGCTACAGGAGATGCATCACTTCTTTTTAAGCAAAGTGCAAATAATGATCCGAACTGTTGATTAAAATCTCTTCACATTTATTCAACAAAATGCATGAACTGAACATGCAAAATTAATGTTTTTTTTTTTTCATATTTTGCAGTCAGATGAGTTCTGTTGACTTTCTGAGCATATTTAATCCCTATAATCTCCTGAGGTGGGTGAATTCAGTAGGTGTGCGTTGTTAGTTTCCCTGCAGCCGCGCGCGTTTTGGAAGGATGTGGTGGAGAAATATGGCAAAATATTTTTCTTTAATAAAGGTTTTCCCCTTCCAAACATTCCAGGTTTTTATACCAAATAAACTCATAGATTAAACATATTGTCTTGTTAGTTTAAAAAAAATGTTCATGCAGTTAAAAAGAAAAAAAAGTGCAAACGTTCGGCTTACCTGCGCGCGGCTCCTCCGGTTCCGGTGCTGTCGTGCAGTGAACGCACCGCGCAAACCGAGCGCATATCCTTCGCTTTTAGTCTCATAAAAAAAAGAAAAAACCGCTCGTGTGACCGTGGAGCTGAGGGGGGGTTGGTGAAGAGGGAGGGAGGGCTGCTGCCCGAAGTTTGAGCAGCTGAGCCGCGCGCCAGGAGCTGTCCGTGGTGCTGAAACACAAAACAACAACGAGGAGGAGAAGGAGGAGAGGAGGCAACTCAGAGCTGCCGGATTCCTGGTGGTCTGATCCTGCCGGGAGCGCCTCAAAAGTCGCAGCTCCTCAACCCAGCTGGCGCCCCCCCACACCCCCCTCCCCCTCTACTCATTCTGAACAATAAAGCGCGTCCAGCTCGGTTTAAGATGAATGAATCAGCGGTGAGGCACAGTTCTGCGCAAAATGAGGTTGCAACAGATTCAGCAGATTTTCTTTTTCTTCTTTTATATCTGAGCTTWAACTCTTACAACAACCTAACATCCTCATTAGGCACATTCAGTTTGGAAAAGTCTTGGGTTGCGTGTTCATATATTTGCTGAAGCCCCCACCCGAAGGATGGTGCATAGGGCGCGGGGTTGGGGGGCTCCTCAGAGACTTGCTGTCGCYTATAGTGAAAATGTATTTAGGGTCCGAGAACAAGTTGTGACGCGGCACGAAAAGGGTGACAAGAGACTCCCACGTGGCGCACAGTCAGTCAGTGATGAGCTCTGGGAACAGTCAGCTGTCATAACC